TCATAAACTTTGTCGTTAAAGGTAATATAATACCTGTTAGTAATAAGTGATCAACTAGTGTGTAAACATGATTTATATTGTACTATGTCAGTCACTGACTCAATAACTCAGTCTTACATTATGCAGTTGGGTAATTTGGGTTCGAATCCCACAGGGAGCATCAATGTCCTCAAGATTTCCATTAAATCTAGTTGAGGAATTTCAATCAATACAAAATCTAAGTCATACATGGTTCTCTCATGATTATTCACATTCATTACAGAAATCATCAAACTACATCACGAAGCAAGCCCTAACTTGGAATCCTGAAGGGAAGTGGAAAAGATTAAGGCTAAAGCGCACATTACGTCGGGAAATAGAAGCAGATATGAAAAAGATGAATAACAACTGGAAACAATTGGAAAGAATTGCCCATGACAGGGTTGGATGGAGAATGCTGGTGAGCGGTCTATGTTCCTCCACGAGGAGAAAAAGGCGTAAGTAAGTAATTATGTCTCCTCTCAATGAAAAGTAGGAACATCAACAACATAATAGAGAAAAGATTGGTCGAAAAAACCCGATTAGTAAAAACAATGTGTGTGTCCTGGACACCATAGGTAACTCCTATTTGAAATGATCTTTAAATTAATGAACAAAGTAGCACATATTTTATAATCTTATCACTGAAAAATTCATCATTCAAAGAGTTTCTTCTTTTAGCTATTTGAACATCAAGTTATGTCAGGAGGGGAGTTTTGTAAAGATTTTAGTAATTTAATAGTTGGATTCATGAGTCAATTGAAGATAGGCCACCATGGAAAACCTGGAAGCACTGGACGGCCGTTTCGTTCCAGTATAGGATTTCTCAGTATAGCACCTTTGGTCTCACATGCAAATGCTTGATTTCTAAAACTTTGAGCGGACATCCACCGGTGTTAATGATGTATATCTTCAGTTAATTCACGAAATTGCGCCACCGTCTACGATTGTCTTCAATGAGTATCTGCTTCACAATATACATGGTTGAACTCCACTGATCGTGGTTTCTCACTAAAACCTCATGAAATCCATCTTGAAGTTAGTCACTAGTGAGCACATAATGATTATTATCAGAAGGGGTTTTGTGGAGATTTTACTAATTTAATAGTTGAATTCATGAATTAATTAAAGCTAGACATTAATACCATTGAATGTCAATTCAGTAGTCTAGAGGTTCATGCGTGAGAGACCAACAAGTCCTGGGTTCGAATCCCACGATCAAGATGGTGGATGCATACTGCTGAAGAGTCCAGTACTAGGACGAAACAGCCGTCCAGTGTTTCTAGGTTTTCCATGATGGTCTAGCTTTAATGAACTCATGAATTCAACTATTAAACAAGTGATATCATCTTAAGATTATATCATTGTACATTGGCCAAATGTTATCAACTATTATTATTGTATTATGTGTATTTCAGTAACCAACACGTACTTTTTCCCTCTTATGCCCAAAAAAAACAACAAAAGAAACGTGTTAAGTTTATTATTGTTTTATTATATATTTACATTGAAATAGAATGTAAACACGTTACACTCCCGCCCCCCCTCCCTCATACTTACAAACAAATAAATAAAACGGGGGGGGGGGAATAGAGTAAAAGAAAATGGCTAGATGAAATAAAATTATAAAGAATAAAGGATTATACATCTTTATTTCCAAAAAAAGAGTTTATCAATGATGAATCCTTTGTTATGGAATATTGAACGTGATATAATTCAATGGGTTAAATATTTATTTAATTAGAATGAATGCAAAAGATGGAAGAAGAACAAAGGGGGAAGAAGAAGAAGGGGAAGGTAAACAAATGTTTAAAGTATGGATAGTAAATAGACCGCTATTATAAATAACTGATTGTGTAATATGTAAATGAAGAATTTAGATAATGCTTAGTCGCTTACACCTATTACTCATCATAGAAGAGAATAGGTCGCCCCCACCCATAAGGATTCTCTATCGAACTCTGTTCTGAGCAATCTTTTCCAGTTGTTTCCAGATGTTATCATCTTTTTCATGTCTGCTTTTAATTCGCAATTCAGTATGTTCTTTGATTTTGAACTTTTTTGTTTCCGTTTACGATTCCAAGTTGGTGCTTGTCTTATGATGCAGTTTGATGATTTCCTCAATGTATGTCCTAACTATTTCTAACATCTTTTCTTAATTTCTTCTACAGTTTGAATAATCCCATTGTTAAGATTTAAAAAAGATATCTTCCTTCAGGAATAAGATTCTAGATTTCTGTTTCATATAGTGTTTTGAAAATTTATTAATAGGAAAGTTCTATGTTTTGGTAAAACAACTGTCAATTTCTTCTTAATATCGTAATTGATGTCAGTGCAATGATGTGAATCAACTTCAAATTGACCAATTTCCACAAATCCCTTATCTTACGGAAACTCCAATTAGTTCATATCAGTCAGTCAGTCAGCTACAACGTAGAACCAGGCACATATGTGCATCGGTTCAAGTTGCCACACCACATGAGCACAACAAGATGAACACCGAATTCGTAGAAGCAATTAATTCAGTGGTGGTAATATATGAAAGAAAGATTGCATATAAGGATATAGTACAGGAAGAAATAATTAGTTGATGCAAAGAAAAAAATGAAGCGATTTCAATCTCATGGTACAAAGGAAGACAAAGTGTGTATACACCTACGCCACTATGATCGATTCTGATCCATGTCACACACAGTCTCCAAACATTGGTCACGATAGTCACGCTATGCGCGTCGTGATAGTCGGTGTACAGGCGTACATAACACGTAACCCAACTATCTCAGTCGATGAAGAATTACAACCTCATCAACTACATATGCGCCACACAAATCTCATTTGGTATGTGTTAGGGCTGTGATACCGTCCGGGTGCCCAGACCGAAGCAGGTGGTTTTCTTAGGGGGCCACAACCGGAGCCTTCGACCAAAAGGTCTGATCCACAAGGCAGTGGAACAATGTCAGGAGATGCAGTTCCATGGTAGCCGGTGACCAACACTAGGTTCACACGCCATTTGTTCCCTTAGGATCATGGAGCCCATGTGCACCATTGGTGTGGAATCAGGGTTTTCTGATTCCCTTAGGTGAATCCTCCGCGTCCACCAACCCGGTTAAAGCGTCGGACGTTCACCTTACATCCTCTCAATTTCGTAAACAACACCTCCACCACGAGAAGGCAGTGAGTAGGACTTTCCTGGCAGAGGCTACATACGCGTGGCCACTTGAGAGCATTTGGAGAGGGAGAGCAGACTCTCCCTACTCTCGGCCGTACCAGGGCATTTGGGGGCAAAAGTCACACGAATGGAACATAATCTCAATTTGAAGTGATTGAGAACACACTACCTGTAGGGAGGAGAAATAGCCTTATTTTCTAAGGAGTTGATATCATTATCAACTCCTTAGAAAATAAGACTATTTCTTGACAAATCACATTCATCTGTCATTGGAGGGATTTTTATTTAGCACAATGTAGTTTATTCGTTTGACAACTATTCATTTGCCTGATTTACCATTTTCCCCTTCTGAAAAATAGATTCAGCTTAAAGCGTTGAGATGGACGCATATCAGATAGTTATTTCTTCTTAGTATATAACACTCACAATCTTACAACAGATCTAACTCAAGAGCTTCAGATCATAAGGTGAATATTTAACGTTTGGATCATTTCCGATTCCAGTCGTTAGTGTACACTACTGATTAGTTATATGTTAGAACAGAATTATTGTCTGGTTCTACTTGGTTATTATTACGTTGTAACTCATTTAATTCATTTTTCATATTTAGTTACCTAACTAACCACAATATTATATCTAGAATATTTCATTGTAAAACCTACAACTTCTGTTTTCATTCTATCAACTTTAACAGTAGTTTCCACGACCCTGTCCCGCGAAGTTCGAACCCATGACCGATCAGTCGCGGCTCGCTAGCAGTTAACCGCTAGACCACTGAGCCGGACGGCATCTAACGGTGTTAATATCTCACTTCAACTAATCCACGAAATTGAGCAACATATCTACCATTGTTTTCAGTGAGTGACTATCTCACAACCGACCTGGTTGAACTCCACTGATCACTGCTTCTCATTAGAACTCCGAAGAAATACCTCTTGAAGTCAGCCACTAGTGGGCATATATTGATTACTATCAGAAGGGGTTGTGGATGTGCACTGCTGAGGAGTCCCACAATAAGACGAAATGGCCGTCCAGTGCTTCCAGGTTTTCCATTGTGATCTAACTTCAATTGACTCATGATCCCAACTATTGAAATTACTCAAATCTCCACAAACCCCTTTCTGATATTTGACAGAAGTTACTGATCTCGCTGAGATGAATCATTATTTTTTTTTAATTTCAGATTTATCCAGTTGTATTTGTGTTATTTGTATGCATGTGTGTGTGCATGTATATGACAATGACATTTGCCAAATTTCACAGATAAATACATTATAGTTGTCTTATCTGTTGTAAGTTGTTCCCTACCACTATGAATGTTAAAAAAGAAAATTAGAATAGGGATATATAGTTGAAAATGAATGATTCTTATGGCCACCGCCAAAAGCACCATCACTGACTCCGTCATCCTCTTCATTATTATCATCATCATCGTCGTCATCCTTAGTAGGAATCCAAATAACCTGTGTAATTAATCAAGTTCAATATATGGTTAAGCATTGAATGATACCAAGCAATGATAATCAAAATCATTATCAATAGTACAATTTGACATTATCAATAAATGAAATAGAGAGAGAGTAGGGGGGAAATTCTGAGATTTACTGATTTACAAATATTAGGATAATAATTGTAGACCTACCTAATTTATCCGAGACTTTCTATTCCTGGAAAGAAAGAAAAAAATTGAGAAAAAAGAGGGCAACAAGAAAACTGGAATTATTTCCGAGACAAATTCAGTCAAATACAGGTCATTTGATTGTTTGTGATTTGTTACATTTATCTGTTATCTTCCATTTTATTTTAAATAAAGCAATATGCACATATTAACACTACTACTACTACTACTACTACTACTACTACTACTACTACTACTACTACTACTACTACTACTACTACTACTACTACTACTACTACTACTACTACTACTACTACTACTACTACTACTACTACTACTACTACTACTACTACTACTACTACTACTACTACCATCGCAGGTATTGTCTTTCATTATGTCAAAATGTTTCATTCATAAAACATAATTACTCCATAGAACATAGAAAACAGATGTGACAAATAGTTTTTAGAATGGTTGTCTTTTTTTCTTTTATTTTTCAATATGGTACGACATGTGCATAGTTTTTTTGTAATTAAATTAGTTTTGTTCATATGCACATGATTGAATGTGTATGTGTACATTTATGTGGGAGACCAAGAAAAAGAACAGGGTTAGACAACGGGAGAGAGAGAGAGAGAGAGGGAAGAAAGGTGTTGTGTATGGAGTTAAATTCTTCTAACAAGTTTTTTTTTCTTATTTTTATCTGATTAAAAAAGTAACAAAATCATTTAGGACTGAAAATTAAATTGATTGTTCTACGTTGACATGATTCATTTTAATAATGAAAACTGTCATGAATTCTTTATAAGCAAAGATGAATAGTGGCTACCAATGGAATTCAGTTTGAAGCGCGTTTTGTCCTATTTGGGATTAATTAGCTGGATATACCTACATCCAAGAGTTGGTGTTCACTCTTTGAACTCGAACTCAATACCCTTCGCTTCGAACGCCATCACATTATCCACTTAACTACTGAGTTCTGATATCCACCTGCTTGTGCAATGGGGTGAAGTTTAAGTTCACTTAGTATTATTAGTTTGAATCTTCCCATCGATATTTAGGACTGCAATCGATCAGTCTCTTGTTGGCATATATTCATCTTATGCACACTGCCTTGATATTACCGTAATTCAAAAGCATTTTAAGCAAAAATGGATAGTGGCTAGGAGTGGAATCCAGTTTGACGTACGTTTTGTCTTATTTGGGACTCATCAGCTGGATGTATATGCTGCCATTAATTCTGTTTAGGTTAGATTAAGGAGGCTGTAAATATAATTGAATTAAATCAAGATAATCATCTGAAGAGGTGAAAAAATAGAAACACTAAATAACTTTTATATCGTTATGTGGGTCTTTTCAGATACGTGGATCGTAAAATCTTTCATTCTTATAAAAAAACGAGTGGCGTTTTATGGAGATTTTACTAATTTAATAGTGATTTAACACTGCTTTTAGGTTTTCCATGGTGGTCTAGCTTGAAATGACTCATGAATTCAGCTATTAAATTATTAAAATCTCTATAAAACCCCTCTCTTTGATTATAATCATCCTGTACTCATTAGTAACTGTCTCTAAGATTTATTTCCTAAAGTTCTAATCAGAAGCACTGACCAGTGCAGTTAAACCGCATTTGTTGTGTGATAATAACTCACTGAAGACGATAGTGGACGGTAACGCAAGTTCGTGGATTCGTTGAAGTTAGACATCATCAACACTGTTGGATGTCGGCTCAGTGGTCGAAAAACTAAGCATTCGCGCATGAGACCGACGGTGCTATGTTCGAGTCCCTTTAGTTTGGGATTATGTATGCACACTAATGAGAAATCCCATGCTGGAACAAAACTAACATCTAGTTCTTCCAGGTTTTCCATGGTGGTCTATCTTCAATTGACTCATTTGTTTATTGGTGACTGTCTACGAGAAACCATAAAGTTTTAATGAAACCGGAAAAGTCAGTCATGTTGAAACTAAAGCATTTACCACTGATGAAATGAGTCCAGTATCATAAAATTGACTGAATTTAAACATATAAACTACTAGACACTAAAATCAATATCAAGTGAATTACTAGACACTAAGTCAGTGATTTTTATGTGATAAATTTGCGTTAACCCTGGGAAGTTCAATGTTATATTCTCAGAATAGTACTGTGTTAACAATCATGAGGAAACCGAAATTTGGAAATGGCAGTATGCTAGTTATTCAGGTTAAACATTAGGGTCATTATGGTTCCTGATATATCTCGACGAGAATAATGAATGGTAACTATCGGAATCTATTTATGGATCAATACAATACATACGTTTCCATTGTATAACGTGTTAAGTAGCTAAACTAATCATATTTGTGTACCTCTAATCATAAGCTTTATTTTGATCATTATTTTGACCGTCCTTGAGTTATGCCCTGTTTATTCATTACAGTCTCCCACATTCACAGCCACTTTTTGGCTAAACCTTGTACAAATGTTGTTTTTTATTTTATTGATACGATGTGGTCTGTCTGGTTTGCATATAAACCCCGTATGTTTGAAATACATGATTAATATTGTGGAGGCTGAGATTGGTGTTCTGGACTTAACAGGAAGGTAGGGCTAGGCGGGAAGCAGGACCGATAAGGACTTTAGACTGCTCGTACAGATTTATGAGTCATTTGTTCGGTCGATAAGTCACTGTTAACTAATTGGCGGTATCATTACATCATATATTGATGGGAGCACAAAGGTCACAAGTTATAAAAGTTCTGATCTCTAAGAGAAATTTAGTTCATTTAGGAATAAAGAAAGTTGTCTGTAAAGTGTTAACTAGCTGGGAACTTCATTTTATTGCTTCTTGTCAACTCTCTTCAATCGTCTGACATATATTAGAAATGTAAACCATTGGGTACTCACTTACTGATCTAAAGATTAAGAGCCTGTCTCGAAACTAGAAGGTATTGGGTTCGATCTCTGTGCACTGTCAAAAAGTCTTATGGGTTTTATGGAAACTTCAAATTATACAGTAATCTTCGAGCTGCAATATTTTTTTCAACTGTCAGTCCGTAACAGTAATCATACTCTAAGTGTGATGTGGATATACAGTTGACTTATCAGTGAATATTGACCAGTGTTGTGTTTGCTTAGTCTTTAGTGCTGACAGAATTCCATCGATCAATTTGAAATGTGGGCACTTGTCTAAGTGCTTTGTGATATGGCGAATTGCGTTTTCGTGTTTAGTGATTGGAAGTAATTGTGAGGGAATCCTGGATCACAATTTTGACAGTGTTGAAATTCGCCAGGAAGAATTACCTGTAATCTTGAGAGCACATGAAATCGGTCATCATACCTATGTCCTACCGAAGACCATTCGCTGCCTGAATAGCTCAATCGGAACATCTCAAACTGTAAAACTGGGATGAAATAGATTCGAATCTCACTGAAAGCATTAATTTCTTCAAGACTGTAGTTATACTTTGTTGATAAGTGTTAACTAAAACGAGAAGAGTCGATCTAATCCTATTGTTCGACAATGATTGAATACAACTGTGACAATGTTAAACAATTTCAAATCATATCATCCAATATCTCCAAGCATAGATTAGAACTATTCTTTGAGCTTCAATCAATGGATACTATTAATTAGTTATTCTAAAACCCATTATGAATATAACTATGTAATAGTTACCAACTAAAAAAAGCACTTATAGATCAATTATAATATTTTATTAACAGGTATGAAGTGTACTAGAATAAATATTATAGAAGATTATAATAGACTGATCACTAGATGGTGATCAATGTAACGTATGTCATGTACTTCTTAGTACAGGTCGAATGCTATCAATCAAGTTACAATGTGGTCACTACTCTAGATGACTCGACATTGCATGCCTTATAGTTAAAAAAAGATGGTAATTGAAGACAGTCGTCAACAGCAATCCCTAGTCCTAGGTTTCATGCTATTTGGCACCCGTCATCAAAATGTACCTGTAATCTTGAGGGGACTAATATTTCTCTGTTAGATTCGATCATGTGTCACCCAGCTGCACAGTCAGAGACGTTACCACTGAGCTTTTCCGGGACGCAAGTAACCTCTTGTAGGACTGAGACGTATTAACAATTGATTGATCACTATGCAGTGATCAATGTTATATATGTCAGATCCTTCTTAGTACAGACCGAATCCTATCAATCAAGTTACAATGTGGTCACTACTTTAGGTGACTCGATATTGTATGCCTTATAGTTAAGAAAAGATGGTAGTTAAAGGTAGTCATCAACAGCAAACCCTGGAACTAAATTTCGTGCTACTTGCCACTCATCATCAAGATGTACTTGTAATCTTAAAGGAGGGTTTATTTTGTATTTCACTTATAGTAATCATTACAATATTCATTACAATAATCATTACAATATTCATTCATTTAAAGTGTATTAATATTTCGATATCCAACGGTTAAGATCATTATTTAGTTGAAGCTAGACCACCATGAGAAACCTGGGATCACTGGACAGCCGTTTCGTCCTATTGTGGAATTCCTCATCAGTGAGCATCCATGACCTCGCCCCCCGCGAGACTCAAACCCGGGACCTACCGGTCCCGCGCGCGATCCCTTAACCACTAGATCACTGGGAGACATACCCACCATTGTCTTCATTGAGTTACTATCTCACAACAGACTCGTTTGAACTCCACTGGTCACTACTTCTCACTAGAACTTCAGGATATACCTCTTGAAGCCAGTCACCAGTGACCATATATCGATTACTATCAGAAGAGGTTGTACTTACAGGTTCTCTATGATGGTCTAGCTTCAACTGACTCATGATCTTAACCATTGAAATTACTATAGTATCCACAAAACCACTTCTGATATTTCAATATTCATTTAGAAATAATCAAATTTAATTAACCTACATTCAATGAGTTAGTTAATTAATTAATTAATTTACAAACTGGAGCAGATAAATGATTATCAACATTCCAATGAACCGTACAATGTATTACCTTCCCCCCCCTTTCCTCTTCAATTCTGTTCTGTTTTAATGAAATTTACTATGTACGTGAATAGGCAAATTATTCAAATTATGAAAACAAATATGTAGATTCACATTCAATATCTACATATGTAGCATATGAGATCGTAGATGAGGATAATCAATTTATATTTTGGTTAAAGATAAAAAACTATACAATTCATTTGGTGTTATTGTTTTACTTGTATCTTTTCATTGTTATTTAGGATTGAAAGTGATCAGTCTCATGTTGGCATATGTGAATCGTGTGCGGATTGCCTCGATATAGTCTTAAGTCATAAGTATTTTTAAGTAAAGATGGTTAGTGGCTAGTAGTGGAATCCAGTTCGACGTGCGTTTCATCCTATTCGGGACTTGTCAGCTGAATATCTGCATCTCATAATTAATATTCACTCTAGGTCTC